AAAATTCACTGATTTCTGTTACAGTGGTTCACTAGAAAAAGTCAAATTGAATAGCCACATTATTAAAAGATTATAAATGCAAGTTCACACACAGCAGACATTGGTCCTTCATCTCACTGAAAGCTCATATCTTAGAAATGTGGGGTTCCACATCAATGAACCTCTGTGTCAGTCTCAATGGCAGTTTTGTGATGCAGACAAATAGCTATTTGAAACTAGTTTGAGATAGCCAATGTTTTTAACCTGAGGCAATCTTCTATTGTAGTGATAGAAGTAAGGCTATTAATGAACTCACCAATATTTAACTATTCCTGTTGAGCCTCCCATTGGTCAAATTTCACAAGTCTAGCACTGTATTGCCCAGGGCAAGAAAATTAAATAGGAATCATTTTCATCAGGAAAAACACTAAAGCTCTTCCTATCTAGAGGAGACAATCAGGGCAAATTTTAAAAGAAGCCTCAAACATGTATTTCTGCATCTCAGTCTCAGTGTTCTTCTACCACAGAAAAATTCACATTCTTTGCTGCTCTCTATAGTAGAGTATGAGTAAAACATTACAAAATTACAGGCTAGTCTTTATACTCCAGGTGTTTCTAATGGACTTCTAGATCAAGATTCAATGAGAACAAAACTGTGGTCAGTACTTGATATAGCAAATTCAGACACAATTTCCAATTTAGAGGAAAAGCAGGAAGTGACATCTTTCCATCAATGCAGGCGAGTGACAGCTTCAGCGATATAAAAACTTTTACTGAGCTCAGTCACATCACATACTGCATCTGCATGAAGAATAAAAGTGCAAATGATAATAAGTGTACTGTATAGAAATTCACCCTTTCTTTGGAGTCACAGTACGGTTTACAACTCTAAAGTTTATGTTCTGTTCCCTCTATTTGAAGCACCAATTCTTAATAGTGCAGTTACTGGGACACAAGTAGTGTCCTAGTCTGTAAGGAGAAAGCAAAGTTGGAGAAAAAAAATTACCATGAACAGATACCCAGGAGATTTTCTGTTTTATTTCAGTGCTGTCCTAGAGACCAGTAGTACCTGCTTGGCTGCCTTTCTGCACTCGCACTGTGACAATGCTTAAACCTGGAAGAGGAGGACATAACAGAACTGCCCTATTCAATGCCAGTCCAACCACTCAGCAACACAGTAATTTCAAGGTCTCTTGAGACCCTCAGAAACTACCATCCTTCCTCCAACTCACAGGCTGGAACTGCAGCAGCACTAAAACCACCAGTTGGAAAGTCAGCCACATTTCACTGTTGGCACCAAAAGCCCCTTTCCCAGCTAATTCCTTCTTAACCATGCTTCTCTCTAAAATGTCTATTCTACATCTGACACTGAAGCTGACAGCTCCCTGAAGGGCTAGTTTTCACCTTTCTGCTCTCAACAGTAACTGGAGTTGCTGTTATTATTTCCACTTTACAAACTGAGAGCAGGTCAGGAAACAAGGCGTAAGTCTAAAACAAACCACATGAAATCAATTACTTTTCAGTTCTGTGCATTGTCATTTGGACAAAGCTTTAGACCTCTTGCTACTTGAAATTCCAACTAGAAACTGAAATTTTTAATAGTGTTGTTTCAGACACCAGGACAGTAACGCATTTCAATTTGTTTCCTGCGTCTGTTACCCTTGTGTGCTTGTGAGTGCCAGCTAAGTTTAGTAACTAATTAGGTTGGAGTCACAATTCCATTAGAGGTCTGGATCAGTAATTCACCAAGTAGGAAACAAAACATCTCTTGTTGGAATAACTGTAGCTTTAATTGACAGATTTTTTTTAAAAGGAGTTTAAAGAGGAAGAAGTCATCCAGTAGCCATACAAACCTCATTGTGTGCCTCCACATTAGAAGCCACAAAATAGGTCACACTCAAATTGAGCGAAACCTCTGGCTGACATAACTATTTTAAATCAGCTGAGCTTTGAAACTGAAGTAACAGCTATCAAAGATCATCCTGAACATAATTAGTAGTTCCAAAACTAATTTTTTCTCTTTATATTGACATTGGACAGTTTCAATACAGACACTATTTTCCATTGTTCTAAACAAAGCACACCAAGCAGCTGCAGAAACACTCCTTGGACAAAGAACAACCGAATCACTTCACTACCAAGGAAGGAGCAAGCAGTAACACATAAGGTTTGATGCCCGGTAGAAAGGGCAGCTTACTGGAATAGTACAAAGAATCTTGTTAATACTGAGAAAGCACAAGGGTCCAGGGTTTCCTCAGAGAGCTGTATAGAAAGCAGTGCTATTCTGCTATTGCACCATAGGAGGTTACAGTGGAGTAGAGGGTATAGACAAAAGTTATCAATACCTTTGGAAAAGAGAACTTGACGTATTAACACCAAGAAGGAAACAGGTAGCTTGGAAAGATTACAATATTATAAAACCCTTGTAACAAGTATGTAAGGATTAACCCACTGTAGGCCTTGGAAACTGCAAAAGTAAAATCAAGCAGAGATCAGTGTGGAATCTTTGGTAGAATTTGGTCTGGTACTAAAGTAGTTAAAAACACAACTAAATGCTACAAATGGTAAGAAGTAAAACTTTGAAAGTTCCACAAATATCTGAATCCCACAGCTATCTGACAAAATGCACACAAATCCCAGAGCAAAACAATATATCTCTGCCTCAATGCAGGGGAAAGCCCTCACTTTTCAGCCTTGAACGTTTCTTTAAGATGGTCAGTGAACAACAGCAGAGCAACAGGACACTCATAGCACTGCTCTCTCTGCTTTGCAAGGCTTCCCAACTTGCTAGATCAAGAAACAGCAGCACTGTACAGAAATCAGAGTACCCAACCCTTACCCCACTTCACAACATAGAAGGCAGAGCATGTTGCCTTCCTTCCACACAAATGTGGGACTTTATGTATCTTCATTGACCTTTGCAAAAAGAGTAAAGGAGTCAATGTTCAGAGCCACTCTGTTGCCTCGTGCGAGCCCCAATGGAAACTTCACACACACCAATATGATGTTTTGGAAGCTTCATCTTTATTGGAAATTATACTTACTTTTATACAGTTCAATAACTACCACATATTTGACTACTTAACTTGTCATTGGTCACACACACAAAATACACGCTGTTCACACGATTAAGCTACATTATTATTGGCTAGCTAACATATCTTATTTTTCTAAATTCTTCTCCTTCTAAATCTAACCACAACACTTTATTTACATGCCTCCTGGCAGGTCCAGCTTAACCTCCCGCCTGCAGGTGTTGTTTTTCTTGTTCCTGCAGATGTCCAGTCCTTGTCGTGTTCTCAAAACACTTAGTCCTTGAAACTCCTCAAATTCCCATCTGCTGGTCCACTCCTGCCTTAACCCAAAAGGTCTCTAATTCTCCTACACCACTCCTGACTCAAATAGCTGTCATTGACCGTCTAATTGTGCTGTGCTTGGTATTGGGATTCACTGGCGCTTAACAAGCTGGTAAGTTCTGCTGAAAGAGAAGAGCTCAACAATCAAATCTGTACACAGGTAAGTTTTATCCAAGAGGGATACAATGGCCTTGTATATCACACGGAACTAAAATTTCAGGTCACTTAGTTTTCCCCCAGCCTTCCCAAATTCCTATTTCACCCTGTTCCATCTCCTCGGTTTCTGAACCTCTTTGAGTGTATCTATTTGCCATATGCATACCAGTTCAGCAACTCCTAAGGGAGGAAAAACAGCCGGGAGAAATGAAAGTTTGACAAAGGAGCAAATAATTCCACAAATCTTTTAAGTGTTTCTGTGTCAAGTCTTGGAAGCTTGTTAAGGGATGGAGAACATATTTAGGTAGAATCTTAAGTCTAGCTTCAGAAGCACAACAAAAAGAAAACCCCCAAAAATAGTTATCTTTGGGTCTTGCTTTCCATAACTACATCTGAATATAAAGGCTACTACACTTACCAAATTTACATGCAATGCAGGCCACCTCCAAAAGATCCTCAACTTGCACTGGCTCCCTGTCCCCCAAAAAAAGACTCCCCACAACTCAGCATGGGGGTGACAGGGAGAGAGAGCACACAATCCCTAGAGCTCTGCTGATCTAAACAGATACAGTAACAAAGCACAGCAACAGGGAGAAATGTTGCATCTCTAACCTTCAAAGACTGCGCTACTTCATACTCTATTATACTGTCCTTCCTGCTTTATCATTCTCATTTTGCATGTAGTTCTTCACAGTTCCAAGGTCCACTTCTCCTCTTCCTCCCCACTGCCCACTCCCAAGAAAATACAGAGAACTATAAACTATGACTATGAAGGTTGTAACGATGAAAAACAAAAGATATTTGTGTTGAACTATAAAGCACCAGATTTTTTTTTACATACCTTGACTTGAATGTGTTGCTAATTAAAGCATTTGAATTATCTAAGAATACATGCCAGAAAAAATTGTGTATTAAGAAAAAGGATATTAAGCAAGCAAGTTCTCCTGTAGCATGCAATGAGATGGTTGACTTGGGAGGCTAATGAATTAGTATAAACAATTTAAATCTAATTTAATTTAACAATGTAGAGCATTTGTGCATTGCAAAGCAACAGATAGTAATTTGTTTCTTCATTAAATCAAAGATAAAATTGCTGATCACCCTTCCCTGAATTATTTTATTGAAGAGGATGGCAAACAAATTTTATATTTAGTCATAAAAGTTCATGACTAGTCCCCAAACAAGCAAATGTAACCAGTGAAGGATACCAGTGAACATAATATAGACCAGCTGTGGTTTAGGGCAACACATTATTCAGTCAAAATAGATTCTCATTTTAGCAGTTAGTGAGCAACTGTTTATACGGAAAATTAATATAGTATTTTAAGTTTAATTTTTATTTCCACAAAACATATCTAAACAGCACTATTTACTAGTGACCACAAACCAGCATTTTTGTGGTTTAAAAGTTTTAAAATTACATGTTAAGAATGCTAAGCATTTGGTACTGCCAGAAGTACTAAAATTATTAACTTCCCCTCTATTTTACAGATAAATTTATGAACTTGCCTCAAAAGTGTTACCGGTGATATCAAATTCTGGTGGAACAAAGGCACCCTCTGGATCATCTTTGGAAGCAAAAGGAAACATGTCAGATTAGAAACTAGTAGTCTTACTTGTTTAAAAAAAACACACACACAAAGCAATTCGATGATACAAATTTAATTATCTGATACAAAAGAAACAGTGTATAGCAGTATTTTGTTTCACTCATGTTTGATGTACAAAGAACTTATTATCTATGTTTCTACTATTGGAAGTAAAATAATTTGTTGTTTTCAAACTTTCTGTAAGAAGATACCATAATTTTCTTCCTAAGAAACAAAACAGATTAAACACCCACAAAGAAATACACTTAACATGTCTAACCACTTCTTGCCTTCAGACATTAACGTCTGGACCAAGTTATCACCTAAGCTGGTGTGGCTCAGAGGTTTGATTTGATTAATGGAACACTTCCATTCACTATTTTCCACTGCAGACCTGGGTGATATGGGTTCAAGCAGCAAACCCAACCTGAACAGCTAATTGTCCTTTCATCTACAGGCCAGCTTAGAACTCTGACCTTTCTGATTAGCTTGTTTTACTTATGATAAAAAAGCTGAGGCAGCAAATTCCCATGCATGTGTGGCTTAGCAGAGCTGCTGCAGCAGACAACTCTGAGTGAAGAGATAGAAGGAAGGAAAGAACATCTTAAGAGAGACTGATGTTGCTGCATCCAAGCAGGTATGTGGTATCACACCGTACTTATGTCATCAGTATATACCAATGAACCCAGTAAAGAACACTATGGAATTAAATAAGTGCATGACTAAAAACCTACTCTTCAGATACTTATTCAACTCACCTAAGCTATCCTTTTGAGAAGCTCAGTGGATAACTGAGATCATTTGCAAGCAAAAATTATGTTTCCCTTCTCAATAAGGAGAAAAAAAATAGTATGCTCAGAGGCATAGCATACTCATCATAGTTTTAGGTTTAATAGAACTCTTGTGCCTGTATTTTAGAAGTGAAATGCAAAGCTCTTATTGTGAAGACACTAAACTCAGTTATATGGAAGAGACTATTGGAGAGGACTTATTTTTTTACATATTCAGATATTGCAGCTACATGGCACAGCTGACTATCCAGATGCTACTCACTGATTTACAGCTCCTTATGATGTTCCCAGTCCTACTTTCCCACTGAAAAGGAGGGGTATGCAACTAATTTTGTATTCCTTACCCACCCTCACATTTTTTCCTGATATTTTGGGGAGGAGGCAAAAGGGGAAAGGAACTAGTGGACAGATGTTTTCTCCCCCTCTTTCCACCTGCAGACTTCTGCTTCTTTTCATCTCCACAGTACCTTCTTACTTTCTTTTCCTAGAACACTTTAAAGGCTGTAGAAGCACACAATTTTTATTGCTGGTACAGCTTACTGTATTCTTCTAATATAATGTTTACAATGGAAATTTGTTTGATCTCAAGAGACAAGAAGATATCAGACCCCTTGGCAGAACATCCTATTGAATGTTTGTCACTTTAGCACCACAGAACCTGTAGGAAGCAGAACTTGCTGCTAAAGCAGAGACGACAGGCTGTTCACTTTCCCTTACTGACAAGCAAATCCAGAGGTTATAATTTTCTTCTGGAAGAATAAATCTATAGGCAACAACTACAAGGAAGCAAAAAGGACAACCTCCCCAAATGCCTATCTAACAAACTATATTTTAACCAAATAGTAACAATAGTAACAAGATCTGAGGGAAACAGAAGGAGCCAAAGACACGGTGGAGCATGTGAGAGAGAAACAGAATATAAACATAACTTTTTGCATTGCCAGAGAAAAGACAACTTTTTTTAAAGAGAACTTATGACAAGTCTCTTCCTTAGCGACTAACATGACTTCAGGGAACTAAATCTTTGTACATTTACATTGCACAGGAATTTTTTATCCCACATTTTAAGCACTTGAATACAGCAAATTCATGGATCAATTGTTTGCCAGCTATTCAACTAGACTAACACATTCAAAAACAAATTGATTTTTTTCTTTCCCAGCTGCAAGCAAAGATTTTACTTGAGGGGCATTTTTCATCCACTAGATTTATTCTCTTCAACAAGTCTTTCATATACCCTTGGCTTGTACAAAGCCAGCTTCTTTTTCTTTTTTTAATTTCAAAGTACGACAAGTTCCTTCAAATGAAGGAAATTGATTCCATATTACCTTATTAATATGAAACTAAAAGTTGAGTCACATATACTTGAAAACTTTAACAAAAAAGAAACATCACAGCAATTATGAAGATATGTTTTCATCTTTAATAATTACACTTTATTAAGTTACATGTTTATTTGAAATACCATCTTTAATTCTAAAGAAGGCAACAAATCTTCATTTGTTGCCATGTTACCTACCTCCTTTTTTATCTACTATTTTTTTAAATACTGTGATGTAGATTTTGACTAAAATAACAAGCACTTATTCTGACATGGATTTCAAAAAAATTATGTTAAAGAAAACACAATAAAAACTTGAATAGTGTGTATAGACTAGAATGGTTCTCCTAGTTATAGACATAATTTCAGAAGCACCATCAAATAAGAGTTGTTTGGATTTTTTCTGTTGTTCTGTAAGATCATTAATAGGCTTAAGATCCATCATCTTGACATGGATCATGTGAGAAGGGAACAGCAACAATAACATGCTTTTTCGTCTCTGCTGAACCCGAAGATTTTTAAAGTTAAGCATACCCCTGTTCACCTGCTGCAAGACCTGAGGATCTTACATGCTACTCCATACTCCTTTCTAATATTAAAATTCATTTCTCAATCAGTCCCCACACTTGGCGAGTCTAAAAATCATGACTTAAAAAAGTAATAATTCTTTATTCAAGAGAAAACTCTAAAAATTAAATAATAAAAAAAGGCCCCTATTGAAGAGAGGGCTTTTCTTTTTAACAGCAAATGTGTACTAGAATTGCCCCATTCTTTAAACTCACAATCACCAAGATACACTGAATATCAAATTTCTCTAGAAATAGAACATATCTATGAAATTAGAAGATCTGGAAGAGAGTAAGGATGTGTTTTACCCAGGTAAAGACTTGAGCACACAGATACACAAATACATAATCTACAGCATTTGAAATGGACATAAGATATCCCCAGGACAAGTCTTAAAATAACTAAGAGGAATTTTCTAAGCAAACTCATAGCAGCCTTTGTTCAATTACAAAACTGAACATGTAGTTTCATATGGACCTATACACACCCACTCCCAAATAAGTTTTTATCTTTATTTTAATTGTCTTCAAAATAGAATGTTATATTTTACTGCGGTTTCTCACTGTAAATTTCCATAGTTCTAAAACAAATAGCCTGGAAACACAAATACTTACCACTGAGCTGTTCCATGAAGCATACATTGCCATTGGTGTTAAAAGCCAAAGTGTCAGGAGTGATGCAGAGTGTCTGGAAGATTGCAGAATGGGCAATGCTCTTCAGAGAATGGCAACACTCCAGGCAAATTGCCCAAATATCTTGCTCAGTAAGACAGCTATCCCGCAGTGACAAAATATCAGCAAGGGACACATTCTCCTGCCAAGATATGAATTAATAAATTACCCTGGATTTCATGACACTACTTTGTATATCATAGATTACGTTTGACACAATTGGCTACAAGTAATGTTTCCAGCAAGTTCTCAGACTTTCTAGGACACTGATTAACAGCCCAACAAACACCAAGTGCATCTTTGCTCATAACACAGTGTGTTTTAAGAAGCACAGTTGACTTAAATAAAGATATCCCAGTACGCTAACAAAGTTATTTACTACAGGAGATCCGTAAGTTACATAAACATTGTATCACAGTTAGTAAAACACACCCCTTGGAGGTAAAAGCAGAGAGACTAAGTTAAAACATTTTGTTTCATCTATGCCTCTCTCAAGCTCTCCCAGGTGCCTTTACATAAACTACTTAAAAACTCTCTTCACAGCACTTCTCTCTATCATCAGTGACCTGGGAAAAAGTGCCCTCTAAATTAGACTATCTTAAGAATGATGCAGTTATGAAGTTAAGTGGTGTAGACCATTTAATAAACATTCAAAAGCCAAACATGCCGTAGGAAAAGTGTTCTTATAATTTGACTTAAAATCGCTTTGGTTGTCCTAGGCCTCCCTATTACACTCAGAGCTCTTAGTGATCAAAAGCAGGTCATGGGCTTAATTTCTAAGTTACTGTCCTAAACTGTAAGTTAACTGGCATTGACCCTATTATCACAGTAAGGCTATGAAGAGTCCAGTTCCAAAAAAATGTGTCTCTAATGTGGTTTTACTGGTCGAGATGTTCAGAAACAATGCTTGCCTCAAAGCAGCTAGCCTTTCTATGGACATTTTTTAGAATACAAAGCTAATACATTACTCATAGCTACAGAAGTAAAGTTTTCATGAACTTAAAGGAATAACAAAAAAAAACTCAAACAAACAAAACATCAATTCCACCTCTAAGGAAAAAATAAGGTAACAAAAAAAGAAGGTAATCTACAGAAGTTACTCTGCATCAGAGCTATAACCACTATTACTTACATAGTGTTTTCTCATTGATATGTAAGTAATTTAAACTAACAACTATACTTCTCAATGACATTAAATGTACATTGAATGGAAGATGTAGCTGTACATTACTTAAAACATAAAAAAAAGAAAGTATGTCATCATCAGCAAAAGAGAATGTGAGGTATCTTACAGCTCAGAAAACTGTCGTGCTTTAAACTTTTAATCCTTTGGAAAATACAGTTATAACTTTCTTTATGTACTTCAGTACTGAAGAACATTAATGATATTTGGATTACCATATACAAAAGGGTTAACAGTTTTTAACATGTCTTTTAGAGAACAAAGCACTGCTCTCATAATATCCTTCAAACAAGGACCAAACTTTAGTCCAAATATGTATCGTGTTATTTAGTCTAAAGTATAATGCTTAATAAATAAATATGCAATAGGAAATAAAGCACATTCTCTGTTATTTGGGAAACTTAAATTCTCTTTTCAATACTCCTATTTCATCAGCCTGGAGATGCACTGATTTACTAATGGCAGCATTACTACAGTGGTTTCTAGAACTAACCATGGATCCTGTTCTCATTAAATTCAGTCCTACATAATACTGAACAGCAAAAGATCTCAGACACAAGATCTCATTTTCTCTGCACTGTGTTCAGCACAATATGTGTAATTTTGTCATCAGAGTTTGAGGGTGAATAAGGAAGTTTTGCACATCCCCATAAGGAACCTCTTCTAAGCATAAAGAGCAGCACAGAGGTTTCTCTATCTGCAAACACAACAGTATGACAAGGATTGCACTACAAACCATTGGGCTTTGAAACTGAACAAGCTGATAGGTAGGGTGAGGAGAGGCTCGGAAAGAAAAGATTAACTGCGTCTTCAATGGTCAACAAAAAAAAGTCAACAAAAACAAACAAACAAAAGTTCATCAAAGCAATGAGCCAGTAATTATGTTTACCTCTCCTAGAACCATCTAGCTAGGTGACATAATGGCATTTGCCACAATAGCAAAATAAAGGGATGTTTCACTAGTCAAGAGGCAAAACTATGAGAGTTTCATCTGTGCAAATGGACCAAAGAGGCTCAATTTAGAGTTTATGTGGAAAAAAATAAAAACTGCAATCTTTTAAGACAGATTCAATATCAAATTCCAGTTACAATAAGGACTTAATAGAATTTCTTTTGAGTCAAGCTTCAAGGCTGAACTTCACTGCAGATAATTATCAGCAGTGATATCTACAGTATAAACCTCCAAAACCATATTTGTCTTGTGGTTGTTTGGGAAGTAAATTAGAGGCAATGATCTCATGTCAGAGAAAGTTATGCAATAAAGACAAAGGAAAAAAAAAAAAAAAGAAAAAAGAATAAAAGGCCTATGAACGTTCAGTGGCTCCCATCTTCAATGGATGCCTAGGTGAAGATAAAACATTAAATAAAGATAAAGCAAGACTACCATCAGCAAGCCTTTCTATTTTCAGTGCTCGGACAATAAGTTATTTACTTCACAGAAACCTTGTATTTCCCAAATGATCACACTGTCTTGACCTTAGTTATTCAAGCTGCTATTGCAGCAAAGCAAGGCCTTTGTAGAGAACAAAGCACTGAAAACACTGAGACATGCAGTTGACTAGTTTGCATCCCCAAAGCCACACAAAACCAAAGTTTTTGCTGTGGGGAAAAAAACCCATCTTTTTAAGAATAACACAGGAGGTTCTGGCAATCTGAATCTTCTGGCACTACTTCAATACTTTGGACCACTGAAAGTTGGTTCACTCAAATGTGGTACATATCAGAGATGCTGATGCCTCTTTTGCCTCTTTCAGCAAAAGACAGTTGTATGAAAGTGTTTAGTTTTACTACTGTTTAAAAACTGTGAAAAATGAACAGGTCAGACAAACATGCTTAATTATTTACTTTAGTTCTCATTTTCCCCTTATAGTTTCTTCAGCAAGTATAAAACAGCCCAGTAGCATTTAACTAAGCAGAGATATTAACAGAGAGCAAGTAGAGAAAGCAAATTAATGGGCCACAGACAACCTCTCAAAAAATTTAAATTAAACATTAAGGAGTGTGAAACAAAGAAAAATTCTAGTAGAGAAAGGAATTTGAAACATATCCTCAGCAATTCCTACTGTTCAGCTCAGGCAGATTCTGCTTCACATATTGGCAAAAAACCACATGCATCAGACACCAACCTCATTCCTTATATTAGGTACAATGATGAAAAATGCACTAAATGACTAAGCAGCTGGGAGTTCAGTACAACAGCATTCACAGTTTTCTGACACCTAAGTCTTTTTGCCATGATATTTCACACAAACTTCGAATCCATCTATTCCAGAAACACAGAAAATGTGGCAAACACGATTCATTAAATTCATCACATTTGAAGAAAAACACTGGGTTGTCTGAGTAAGCTCTCTGAGTACTCTTCAAAGCAGCCCTTTTTTATTAACTTCTCTAATCACCAGGTGATAGGTCGCGCTCATTCTCTAAACAAAAATACTGAAACTATTTATGTTTCCGGAATAACTAACTAGATGGGACTGGTGGAAACCCACAATGAAAGTATCTATTGACCAAGTATGAAAAATGGGCCCAGGTCTTTCTCATACATAAGACTTGACCCTCAGCTTTCTCTCCCATTCTGAGGAAAGACTTTAAAGACTTAAGTTAATGTGTAAAAATGAGGCCATTACCACCTTCCTTCTATGTCTTGCATGGGCGAGTCTGAGAGGGCCTGCTGCACTGAATACTACAGAGGGCAGAAGAGCCAAACTGCTGAGCCATTCGGTGACTTAGGGAAGCTGAAAAGGACTTTGCATTTTCAAACTCACTTTTAAATCCTGATTCAGCTTAGATTCTTGACGTAGCAAATAAGAAAGTTTGCAAGATCTGGTGTGGGAAATGAGCAGCTCACGTATGGTTCACCAAACTTTTAATTCAACAAAAGAGGAAGAAAACTCAAAGCATTTTGCCTAAATATTCCCTAGGGAGTAAGAAACACACATCATGTGGAAAGATACAAAGATGAGAAGGAGCAATAAAAAGCAAGAGCAAACCCAGTAATAAATCCAGACAAACGTGGTGACAAGAACAGGGTTTAGCTACAGGTTATTGGGCAGAACAACTGAACAAACAGATGTAACAGTTTGGTGGTTTGGGCTTTTTTTTTAAATTTCTCAGTGTCAAAGGCCTTTTTGCACAGGGCAGCAATATGCAGCTGTACCAAAAACTGGTTGGTAGCTTCTGGAAACAGCTGTGTCCATGTAAATTTCCCTTCACCGAGCGCGACAAGGACACGTACTCGCCGACTGCAGCATTAGCCCACGGCTATGACAGCAGTGACGAGACATCCCGCATTCGAGGACCGTGACTTTGCTGTTGTATGGGGAAGGTGCACAGGGATGGGCCAAGCCCAAGTTGCTGGCTGGGACCGGCGGGCAGGGGCGGCGAGGAGCCGGCGGGGGCACACGGGGAGCTCACGGCGCTGCAGCCGCGGTCCGGCCGCTCCCCCGGCCCGGCCGCCGCACCACAGGTGAGCGCAAGGGCGGCGGCTCCGTCCCCGCACCTGCCTCACTCACCTCATCCTCCAGCAGCGTCGGCAGAGGCTCGAAATCGTAGCAGTTCGCCGCCTCCTCCTCCTCCTCCTCATAAAACACGTCCTCTGCGGCGTCAAGAGCCTCCATCCCGCCGGGCGAGGGAGCAGAGGCTTCACCTCCGCAGCCTCCCTGTGCGCCCGGAGCACGGCCCTCGGCCCATTCCCCTCAGCCGCCCGCAAGCTGCCCCCGGCCGCGACCCCCGCGGCACCGCCCGCCCGCTTTAACCCCTTCGCGGGCCGGGCCCGACCGCGGGGCGCCCCCGCCCCTCCCGCGCCGCCGCTCAAGCCGCGGGCCGGGGCAGCGCTGCCATGGCAACGGCCGCCGCTGCCTCGCCCGCGCGGCCTCACTGCGGCGCCGCCCGCCCTCCTGCGGCGCCGCCCGCGCCGCGCCCCGGGCGGCCCCGGCAGCCACGGCGGGGTGGCCGCAGAGCGCGGCGTGTCCTCCCGGCCCGTCTGCCCCGCTGGCGGGGAGCCGCTGACAGCAGTAAGGCGGTGGCGTGGCTGTGCGCCCTGGGGAGCGCGCCCGCCGCAGTGCCGGCGCTGAGCGATCGCCTCCCCGTCTGCCCGAGCCCCCCGGGCCCGCGTTACCGCCGCCGGCTCTGCAAACCGCTGGGTTTACTGAATAAACCGGTGTTTAGAATTAGGTGAACAAATATTTGCATGATCATGGCATAACTACTGACGCAGTTCGAACCATAACAACCGCAAACAAAACCAAGACGGTATCATCAGCTTTCTGTTCATCAGTTGTGGCCCATTTTTGCAGTCAACAGGGCCTAGGGTGCCTCAAGTGACTTCCTTAAGACTCCCCCTTGAAATCAAAGGTTCAAGATCAAGGGATTCCTTCAAAACCACCACCTGCATAAGCCAGTTTTTATTTCAAGTAAACCTCATTGGAAAGCTCAGGTTGTTTTGAGTAAAGAGGCCTGGGAATAGGAATTGGCATTCAATAATGGACAGGTAACCCCTGAGCAGGTGTCTCCTGATTTAACTTGAAGCCACATCAGAATCTTCCATCTCCATTGTAAACAATGGTGGATGGTGAGAATATATTCTTTTCTCCTGTAATTAAATTTTAGAACTACAGGTACTTGGAAAATAATGGTGCCAATTTCATTATTCTGCTTTCATGTATTCCTATAATTCTATGTCAAAATGAAGTATATTAATTAATCTCTGCACGGTATATCAAGCAAAGCAAGAGCTTTATATTTTGTTCTTTCATGTAGTACTCTCTGAAAAAGATTAATACTCTATTAAAATATATATTAACAAACACTGTGAAACAAACAAAGATACTTTGATTAACTGCCCCATAAAAGTCATCCTGCAGTTGTAAGATTTCTCCCCGTTAAACATTATTTGGATACATTCCACAGTTATGGCATACTACTGAATAAAAACCAAACCCAGGCAGATTGGAGTCTTTCATATATATATGCTGTCTTATTACTAACATTTTTGAATGGATATGAACTATATATATATATATATACTTATAATTTGGTAACTCAGGCTTTTAGTTGTAAACAAATACTAAAGCATGGAAAACTGAGTGCTTGGTGCTTCTGAAAAAAAAAGAAGCCCAGCATGACTTCAATAACAGTATTATTATAAAATGTTTCTTAAACTGTATTTCACCAGCATATTTGGCAAAATGTTTTCTTCAGGAAACACAATCTACCCAAGAAGAATCCTGAATTCTGGACTCTTGTGTATTGGACCCATAACTGCATTGTAAAGAAAAGAAAGGAGAAAAATTTTTCTGGTGCCTAAATCAGGCCTAATATCTACACTTACCCTCAAATACATCTTAGGCAGCTCTCCATTGCAATCACCACTTGAACATTCACAAATATTTCTGAAAAAAAGGTTTTAAGTTAAACCTATGGAAGCTGCACAGAAATTCATATGCTAATTTTGAAAGAATCAGTATTTTTTGTTGACCAAGAGAAATTCCCTTGCCAGTAAATGAGTGATAGGGCATTTCCCTGTGAGGTTAGCAGACTCAGATTCAGACACATACCTTGCATTATTTGGACCTTGAATCTAGGCTTGAGTAGATTTTGTCAGAGTAAGTGACTGACAAGTGATTTGAGATCTATCTCCCTGTAGATGTGGTTAACTTGCTCTACTGAAGAACTATTTATACAAAGTGGAAATTGTACAAAATGGGAAACAAATGAAACACAGCATTGCTCTGTAAACAAAAACTTGTAGTAGACTTACCTTATCACAAAGGCCTTGACGGACAGGAAAAGACAGTCAATGGAACTGATATGGTTTGGAAGATTTTTTCCAGAAAAATTGCTATTCTAAACCTGTGCTCACATCAATAATTGTGTTGTTTTGATTTCCTCATTGCTCCCACAGTTGAGGCAACTGTCAGAAAAGACATTGCAACTTGTTTAATACATTCATGTAGTAATACGCTAGAACATTCTTATTAACATCTGCAATTAGTCATGGCCCACGGGAACTGCTGGAGGACATGCAACACTACACAGTTCAGCATTAGAAAAAACCCCACATGTAGATGAAGCTGTCAGTTTTTCTGCAGCCATATTTTCTGTTCTTTCCACAATGTTGCTTAAGGAAGTGTAAGTTCTTAGGAGGTCTTCATAGAGTATAGGTAGGCATTTTTTGAAACATGTTTTGATGGATAGGTGAGTGCCTGTGGAGATTAACTTCTGAGTCTGAGGTTGGTGAATATGCAGGTGAATATCATATTGAACACAGAAATATATAGAAGAGAAATCAGATTCTCAAAGGTGGGGGTTCTCGAAAGTCAGAAATAAAAACCTTATTTTGCACTAATTGTATTCTGTAGCCTAAAAAGAAAAAGAAATGTTAGCACAGATTAAAGGAATATTATTTTAGTAAAGGATATTTGAAATAGGTTGGAAGTACCCCTTTGAAACTGTGGAAGTACCAGAGAGAGGTTTCCTTTGACAGTGATCAAGTTTTGGATATGAACTGAGATCTTAGCACCAGTAACACCAGGAAATCACAATTATTATTGGGGTTTTTTGCTTCTTAATTGTAGATTAGAGAAGAAAAGCTACTAAGCAATGATAAACTCCAAATACAGTGTAGATATTATATGTGAGAAAATTCTTGACCAAAAAGTCATTCAGTCAACGTGGAGTTTGGTGGTTTAGACTATGATCACAGACAACGTAAAGGAAATGATCAAATACATCTGATTTCAGTCCTCTTACAGTTTGAGTGTGCTTCCCTTAAGCTGGATCTCATTCATAGGAAATGCATTAGAGTTAGGGCAGTTTGCAATTTTCACATAAGGCGTGTTTGCAGAAAAATAGCTGACTTGATTTCTGTCTCTGACAGCAGCTGATAGTATGTTACTACCTTGTTCCTACTCTCTCCTCTCTAGACATCTGCTGTGTTCTCACAGCCTCCAAAGAGCCAGTTCAGATTTTCCCTAAGGCAGTTGTAATGTCTACTGGTTCAAGAGACACTGGAGTATTTTTCTTTAATGAATTTGCTCATTCACTTTTTGAGTCTGAATGCATTTACTATCCACCATGTCCTATTACAAAATTCCTTGGCTGACCCGCACATTGTATAAAGCAAATTCTTTGTTTCATTTGAGACTCACAACTTCTTGTATTTGCAAAGGTAATGGATAGATTCCTTATTTGTCATCTTACCATCATTTATGATACTACAGAGTTTTCATATCTCCCCTAGTTTCATCTTTTTAGGTTGTAAGGCCCTGTTCTAGTTGTTCATTCACAGAATAGAAACTATTCCATAACTTTGATCATGCTTTAGCACTTCTCAGTATATTAGCTAACTGTGTCATTATGTAATTAAAAATTGTGAAAAAAAGAGGAAGGAAGGAAGAAAGGAAAGGAGGGAGAAGAGAGGAAAGGAATAAGGAAAGAAGGAAGCCATTTTTGAAAATAATCCATTAATGACATGCAAAATTAAAGAAAGTACTTCTCTTAACCATGGTTTACTACTTTAGTTATGAGCCTCGTGCTTTTATTTCCAGGCAGCTGTATTCATGGGATATTGTAAATAATAATTCAGTGGGAACTTGCCACAGAGAATACATTCATGAGAATTCAGGAAGTGACTGCCAGCACCCCGTCTCTGCAACATAATCTAAATACAAGCTACAAGAGAAAGGAGATTGTACATGGTACTACTGTTACAGCACTTTGTGCCACTAGAGATGTCTTTCATGTTCTTTTGTAGGTTTATCTTTTTCATTATAGCACTTTGCTTATTCTTTTTAATAGATTATATAATCATAATTGACTATTATAATTTGGAGTACCAGTCTTGTAGATGAAAGGTACACATTTGTAACAGTATAATTAGATTGTACATTCTCCTTTTAAAAGTTTTCATTTAATGGCAATTTGCCTGAAGGTTCTCATTTTAATTTAGTTTGGGTGAAACTGAGGGAACTGTAAGATTGCTGTATAAAGAATTGGGTTTTGTGTGTGTATGACATATACTTTTCAATTGTTTGGGTTCTGTTAATCAGGGATCTCTTTAATGCTATGGCCTTTAATACTTTTACAATCTATGAAACTACTGTTTTTCCTTTAGCAGTTGCGTGTATTTAAAGACAAGCTTTCTGACAGTTGCCAACTGCTGCTGCCTTTGTGGCAGTGGCAAGAAACCATTGTAACAAAAAGCAGATTGTGTTGCTGCTACTGAAAAATCTGAAAGAGTTAAAATACTGCAATTTTTAAACCAGCCCTATTGCTGCTACAACTCATATAGGTGCATAAATCTGCTTGACTGAAGTGGTAGATTACTTTGTATTGCAGGTACTTAAGAATCTTACAAAGGCAATAGGGGTGCATTATCAGAAAATTATATGCATAGACTTCTTACTGTATGGGGAAACCTATACAGAGGTTTCTGTATAGGTTTTTTTACTATTTTTTTTACTATTCAACCCCTTTTCATGGGGTTGAATGGTAAAAGTGTAAACTTCAGAATCATCAATCACAGTCTTCGGTCATTATAGGCATTTGTGTCATCATTCTTTTCCTAGAAATAATCAAACTCCACTTGTTCCTACATGTTAGGAACTTTCTAACTTCCAGCCTTTACTTACACTCATTCACTTTTGCCCCAACGTTGTCTTTTAATCTCAGTTCTATTTCTTTACTGATAACCATTTCATGTATCTATCTGTTCCATTG